GTCCTCTGTAAGGACATGGATGAATCTGGAAACCATCATTCTCAGCAAACTGACACAAGAACAGAAAATCAACCACCGCATGTTCTCACTCACAGGCGGGTGTTGAACAATGAGAACACATGGACACAGGGAGGGGAGCATCACACACTGGGGACAGTTGGGTGGGGGTGCTAGGGGAGGGACAGTGGGGTGGAGAGGGATAACATGGGGAGATATGCCAGATATAAATGACAGGAAATGGAGGCAGCAAACCACCTTGCCATGTATGCACCTAAGTAACATCCCTGCATGATCTTCACATGTACCCCAGAACCTAAAGTACAATTAAAAAAAAAAGATGATGTCATCCTGGAGTAAAGTGGGATCTTTTTCCAATATGCCTTCTTCTAAGAAGAGGGGAGACACAGAAATACAGGCTCACAAGTAGAGAAGGAAATGTGATGATGAAGGAAGAAATTGTAGTGGTGCTTTGACAAAAAAACATCAAGGATTTCTGGCAATACAAGAAGCTGAGAGAAAGGCATGAAACAGTTGCCTTTAGAGAGAACACAGGACTGCCAGCACCTTGATTTCAGACTTTTATCTTCTGTGAGAGAACAAATTTATGTTGTTTTTAGCCATCAAGGTTGTGGTCATCTGTTACGGCAGCCACAGAAAATACATACACCCAGCCCATTCTGGAATCCTGCAAGAAGCCCTGCTCTGATCTACAGTGTCTGGTTCTGTAGTAGAGAACTTTGTTCCCTAAACTGCTAAAGCAAGTAGAGTGAATGAAGGGGCACTGGGAGCCTTGAACACAGAATTCCAATGACCGAATTTCCTATATGAAATTTATTCCTACTAAACCATCTCCAACAATTTAAGTGCTTAGTTCCAGCATGCACGTTTTCTAATCTAAGCCTTTTAAAAATACTGTTATAAGTTGTTTACAGCAGGAAACAGCCTCTGAGATGCTGAGATTTGCACATAGAAGGACTTTTGGGGAGTGCCTGCTGTAACAATACCTATGAGTTACTACGGAAACGAAGTTGGGCAGAGAGGGAGGTTGAACCACAAGGGAATTGCAACAGAGGTGCCAGCTGATCCTAGAGGGAGCTCTAGAACTGGAATGGTCCTTTGGAGTCATTCTCAACTGAGGCAGAGTGGGTGGGATTTCTGCAAGTTATAGATCTAAGTGTATGATCTAGCAACAGAGACTGTATTTTGTACCTGCAGAGATCAGCTATTAGATGTAGGCTGCCAGTGGGGAGGAGTCAAAGCACTGGGCAAGATGGGGTCCTTTAGTTACAAGTAATTCCTCATTATAGAGACAGCAAGGGAAATGAGTGGTTGGGTCCTAAGGAGGAATCTCAAGGACGGACTGCAGCATCCACTACGTGTATGGATGGAAGTCTTTCTGCCTAATTATCATCTGTTATTAGGAAGTGGCAATAAGAGATTCCACACCTGGAATGGAATTACCTTACTTTGGGAAATAATCCATTGGGTGTTCTCAAACCTTATCTAATGACAGATCTGAGAGGTCTCAGCCCTGCATTCTTATGCCTTTCCTTCTTTCACCCACACATTTCCATCTCTACCCATTATAATGACTCTTAAAATCTCAGTTTTTAGAATAGCATCTGATCACATTTGGGCCACAATAATTTCTTCTCTTCTACTTACCCAAGGACAGCAAGGGTAATCATTTGACTGCTTGGAAATTGCCATTCATTCACTTGTTCACTTATTTACCCACTTGCCAGCCATCATACATTTTTAATAACTATGCTACACTACACTAAGCATTGAGTATAAAAAACTGAAAGAAGAGATTGTAAAAGGCCTTACTCACCATGATGAAGAGTTAGATTTTATTGAGACACAATGAAGACACTTAGAAGGATTATGGGCATACTGTGACTCGAATAGATTGGGGTTATTAAAGGAGCCCTCATGGGTGGTAGAGAGTATGAACTGCAGGCAGGTCCCACAATACAGGGATGCAGCTTGCAGATAAAGAATTTAAACACAGGTTAGGTCACTCTTCAAACCTCAGCCGAGTTAGTATCTTCTGTCCGTCTCTAAGATCCACTTTGCTGTCCAAGTTAGCAGTGTTGTAAGGAGCAGGTCCACAGCCTGCTTGGGTAGAGGGACTCACATCCTCCTCCTAAGCCACCAGTACTCCCCGGGGCCCAGCCACATGCCTTTGTGTATGCAAACACACCATGTACATGACCTCAGGTCACAAACACTCAGTGTGAAGCCCACAGCTGTCCACATAGACTGGATGCCTCTAAAAAATGAGCCCCCAAAGGATGCATCATTCCATTATGGCTTTTCCCTTAACAGCCTCAATAGCTTTGGGCCCACCCCTAATAGGTAAAGTAAATCTCTCAGTGGGTGGGATTTCCATATTAAATGCAAGTTATAGATCTACGTGTATGACCTAGCAATAGAGACTGTATCCCAGAGAAATAAAAGCAGGATAATTTTTTTCTAATTAGCCAACTGTAGACTGGATAATAGAAGAGAAAATATCATATTAATAATCATTATTTTAAGGTAATAGCTTATGTTCTTTAATGCAGTTCCAATATAAATGTCACTGTAAGAAATGATATTTCATTTCAATACTAACAAATCAGGTACTTAGTGAGCTGGGGGAAAAATGATTGGAACTACTTTAAAGCTGCATTAACCAGAGAAACTGCAAAAATATTTATATTCTTATGAAGGAAGGAAAGAATGCCCCTCATGGGTGTATTTAAGTATCCTCCATCTTTTGGATAAATGGTAATGCTAAACAGAAAATGGAAAGATGACCTTAGAATAATAACCTCAAGACTCAACTGGGACTCAGCTTCCCAATGTACAAAAAGCAGTTGCAGTATGTTCAGGATGGAAATTTCTATACTGCTTTATAGCTCATAGACTTCATTACATACCTCACGCAACAATCACCAAAACACGCAACTCCAGGCTGGCCTCCTTCCCATGGGTGGGCCCTCCCATATGTAAAATTACTCACCACCCCCTTGCTCACTGCCTGTGATTCTGCTCAGTTACTCCATGATGCTTGTAAGGACAGGCAAACAAAGAGGAGAAAACCAATCCATTCAGAGAGGTGTTTCATATAGAGAATGGGATTGTTAAACCAAAACCAGGTCTGGCACCGTTAGGGCTTTCTCTAGCCAGTTCCCTCTCCATTCTTCCTTCTAGCGACCCCATGAAAACTCCATTTGGAAAATTTCACAGGATAAATGCTGTGCCAATACCTGAAGGCAATCTATTGAGTGAAACCTTTCACTCTTTGTCCTCTCCAACAGCCTCTATGTACATTCCACAGAAGAGAGTTGGTGAGGGTCTGAACTTGTGAGTCATTCAGTTTTCAAACAGTTCCGGAGGACTTTGAGTTTCCAGTTGATTTATTATGAATGACATTGATACCTATGTGACTAGAAGCTGTTAGTTTGAATTGGTGCTTAGAGAAACAAACTCAGTGAAAGTCACCAAGCCAATAAATATCTGAAGAGTTACATGGAGTTGTCTTTTAAACAAATGACAGGCCCCTTCCCATCAAGAAACATACAGAGACACATAAACCTATGTCTGTAAGGCCTTAAAGTCACAATATTTCAAGCATAATTTTTTCCGATCTTATAGGTTTCAAATGACAAGGGAGTGAACAGATTCCTGATTATATAACCTCCAAGCACATTCCCATATGTGTTTTTTTTTTAGTCCTTACAAAATCTTGTATAGTAGGATAAAAGGCGTTCTTATCAAAATCTGCATTTGATATATGAAAAACATAGGTTCCCAGAAGTACGCAGCTTTCAACGCTGCTGATAAGTAAAAGAGTGAGATCTCCTGATGCCCAACCTCATGCTCGTCCAATGATTTCAACTCTCCTTCTTCTTCATTTACATCAATGGGGTGAAGAGGATTAATTCAGTCTAAGAATTCATTAATTCAGTAACAACAATTCTTTGAAACAAGTCTTTAGACTACCTGGCTATTTGACAGAAGTAATCATCAAAATGGGTGGTTTAGCAGCCTGGAATTTTAAAAAATCTTTGACCAGGTGGGAAGTTACATAATGTGCATCACCTGTCACTCCCCGTACTCTCTCTGGTAACTAACAGAGTTCTACAAGCTCAGGACTGCATAGATGCCAAGTGCTTCCTAGCTGTTCCAGGAGACTATCAAAGCCAACACAATGAGCCTCATGCTGGTGAGGTCCAGGTATTCTTGGGGTTGAATGGAAGTCACCAAGGAGCAGTCTGTCAGCTTGCCTAAGAAATTTACAAGAGTCTATTACCTTGGCACTGTCAAAATGTCCGTTATTTATGTTCCTCTATGGGGAAGTGGGAAAAGCAGCCAGAACAGCCTGGTGTAGCAGCTATCCAGCTGCTCATGCAGTTAATATAGCTGTAGAAAGAATGTGATTTATACAAAAGCACTTTCTCTCAACACTAGCATATGAGTCCGAGACCCACTCATTCTGGGAGATCCACACCATGCACACACACTTTTGTGTGCTCTGGAGACAGCAGGATAACAAAGAGCTACAGATTTAGATCGGTGCAGAAGGCAGAAACACAATAGACATATGTACCAACAATATCTACAGACTGACCTACGCCCTTATGATGTACATGGAATTAGTCCACTTGTTGCAGAAAGCAAGATTTTTATGCATGTAACAGAGCCAGGCAGGCAGAGGTTCTGTAAAAGCAGAAGATGCATGTCACAGAGAGGTTCCCTGCTGCTTGCTGGAGAGGGCAGCTGATTGAGGAACCAAACTGGAAAGCATGCACGCACTGCTTCCAGGATCAACACAGATGATCCAGCAGGTGAAAGCAATTGTCAAATCAGTTTTTCAAGGCAAGGGAGCAGGACCAGACTCTACTTGGCACCTTCTTCCCCTTTTAGGTGAGAAAGCAGGAATGAGCTATCTGCAATTTCTGTGTATTGTTGCTGGACAGAAAGCATGGGTGTCCGGAAGCCTCACATACCTGATAGGGGCCCTGGTTACAGCCACAGTAGCTGCTTTCCATGGTGTAGCTTCTGGACACCCCGATCTCTCTCCACACCACGACCCGGGCAGTGGAGGCTCGAGATTTCTCCACGAGAAAGCTGCAGCTGCTCATTGTGAATGCTGGTGCTAGTTTATCAAGGATTTTGGGAAGAGTCTACAATAAAAAAAAAATCAAACTATGATTAGTTGTGGGTGACTAGGGATAGTCATCATAAAAGTAGCTTCTCAACATTGTTAAGCATCTATATATAAAATACTTAACATATGTTACTTTAAATGATTTATTAACCCCAAGAAATGGCTATCAATTTTTAAAAATCATTTTGCAGATGAGGAATCATGCTTTAAAAAGTTAGAAATAGGCCAAGCATGCTGGCTCATGCCTGTAATCCCAGCACTTTGGGAGGCTGAAGTTGGTGGGTGGATCACCTGAGGTCAAGAGTTTGAGACCAGCCTGGCCAACATGGTGAAACTCTATCTCTACTAAAAATACAAAAAATAGCTGGGTGTAATAGCGAGTGCCTGTAATCCCAGTTACTCAGGAGGCTGAGGTAGGAAAATCACTTGAACCCAGGAGACAGAGATTGCAGTGTGCTGAGACCGCACCACTGCACTCCAGCCTGGGAGACAGCATGAGACTCCATCTCCCCCTCCCCACAAAAAAAGAAAAGTTAGAAATAAATAGCTTAAGTCCGGAAAACTATAAAGTTGCTAGAGAGGGATCCAGATGGCAATGTGGCCACCTCCATAATCTTTCAATTCCACTTTTCTGCATTGCTATGGACCAAGGTTGTACATGTACATTTGGCCTCATACATGAATGAGTTGAGACTATGGAAAGCCTCAGATTTCACAGGGACTTGAAATTTACAGACCACATCCAGCCTCACTGTTACTTAGCAGGGTTAGACTAGGGACTGTAAACTTATTTCAGGGCTGGGCATGGTGGCTCACGCCTGTAATCCCAACACTTTGGGAGGCCGAGGCGGGTGGATCACGAGGTCAAGAGATCGAGACTATCCTGGTCAACATGGTGAAATCCTGTCTCTACTAAAAATACAAAAAATTAGCTGGGCATGGTGGCACGTGCCTGCAATCCCAGCTACTCAGGAGGCTGAGGCAGGAGAATTGCCTGAACCCAGGAGGTGGAGGTTGCGGTGAGCCGAGATTGCACCATTGCACTCCAGCCTGGGTAACGAGAGTGAAACTCTGTCTCAAAAAAAATAAATAAATAAAAAATAAAAACTTATTTCAGAAGTCCAGAGGGGCCAGTGATGATTCTGGAGAAGAAGCACATATAGTTTACTTCTTTCCTAAGAGTACGTAATTGCCAAAATGAACTTTTTAGTCTCATAAAAAAAACCTGAGGCTTGATCAATTATGAAACTCCTGAAAGTCCATTCTCTCTGGGTTCATATATTCTACCTTTTCTTGACGTAAAAATATTTTATTTATGACCACTTAATCTCCATTTAGAAGGCATCTCTAGACTCTCCACACCCTGACTGACAGAGAGGGAGCTTCCAGCCACTGGACCTCCTCCCCAGAGGACAATGACTCAGAGTTGATAGTACACACAGTCTTGAGTCAGCAGAAATACTGCACGTAGACAGTCCCAGAACTTCTGTGACATGAGCAAGAAAGGTTATCTCATTTTAGTGTTGGCAGAACATGCATAAACTAACACATCACTTAAAATTATGTACATTAGACAATAGTGAAGCTTTAGCCTTTTAGACAAATTATGGGGGGAAAGAGAAGCTTAACAAGTTAATGAGAATATAAATGAAAGAAGTTTTGTCCATTTCTAGAACATTGAGAAAATCTCTTAATGTCTCTTGTACTTACTGTCCTCATGTTAAATGTAACCGTTAATTATAATTATTAATTTTTTACAAATTATATGAATACATTAACATAATTGTCATTTACTATGATCTCTAAATTCCTACATAACCTCCAGACCCACAGATCACCTGAGAAGGGGAAATGGAACACTAATGTTATCTTCACTTTTTTTCCCCCTACAATTGCCTCCTAACTGGTTTCATCATATCCACTCTTGCCCCTCCCTTCCTATAATCCCTCAATCTATTTGTTCCTTCAAAGGGCTCATTACAATTACAATTAAATTATTGTGTATGTATTCGTTGTTTATTTTCTATCTTCCCAGAAGCCTAGAAGTTCCATCAGGGCAGGTCTGTGTCTTACTCATGAAAGAATACCTACACAATGAGCAGTATGTTGCTCTTAGAAGGTACTCCATAATTATTCGCTGAAAGAAATAGAATCTGCTAGTCCACACCCCTGGGGGGCTGCTCAAATAGACATAAATATATTGTTTCTATTTCTTGCAACTAAAGTGTTCAAAAATATTTGAAAATAGTTTTAATCTATCATTGCCTTATCATGTTGCAAAAGTTTAAGAGTTTAAGTGATTTTTCCTTTTTTACTTAAGTGAACGTATTTTTTTTTGTAGGTTGTATCTCTTAAAAAAAAAAAAAAAAAAAAAAAGGCTTTATTTAAAGCAGTTTTAGGTCCACAGCAAAATTGAGAAGGAAGATGCAGAGATTTTCCATACGCTCCCTGCTCCCGTACATGCATGGACGCCCCCATTATGGGCATCCCTCACCAGAGTGGTAGGTTTGTTGTAACCGCTGAACCTACATTGAAACATCATCACTCAAAGTCTATAGTTTACAATAAGGATTCTCTTCACTTTTGGTGTTGTACATCTTACGGGTTTGAAAAACTCTACAATGATGTGTACTCACTATTACAGTATTACCCAAAATAGTTTTACTGCCCTAAGAATCCCCTGTGCTCCACCTACTTATCCTTCTCTTCTTCCTTCCAAACTTCTGGGAACCCAATCTTTTCAGTCTCCATAGTTTTGCTTTCTTCAGAATGTCATACCCCTGGAAATATAGTATGCAGCCTTTTCAGGTTGTTTTCTGTAATTTAGTAATATCCATTTAAGGTTCTTCCACAACTCTTCGTGGCTTGATAGCTCATTCCTTTTCAGCACTGAATAATACTTTATTGTCTGTTTAGAATGAATATTGGGCTGTAGCTGTCTTTTCTTGTGATGTCCTCTTTTCGGCTTTGGTATCAGGGTAACACAGATCTCATAAAATGAGTTGGCAAGTGTTTCTCCTCGATTTTCTGAAAGAATGTTTTTTATAATTACCAGTATTTTGTTCTTCAGAGTTTGATAGAATGTGTCAACAAAACGATCTGGGGCTAGACTTCCATTTATAGGAAGAGTCTTCATTACTAATCCTTCTTTTTTCCACTTAAAATAAACCTCATCAGATTGTCTGTGTCTTCTTCTTGAGTCAGTTTTGGTTATCTATGTCCTCCTAAGAATGTATTGATTTGTTGGTATATAGTTGTTAGTGATATTCTTTTCTACCCTGTAAAATCTGTAGTGATATCCTTCCTTTCAATCCGGATTTTGGTAATTTGTATCTTCTTTCGTTTCTTTGTCTGTCTGGCTGAAGGATGATCATTTTGTTGATCATTTCAAGAAACCAAACTATGAATTATTGAATGAAAAGCATGTTCTTTATGGACTCTCTATTGTTCACATAATTTTAATTTCATCGAATTACTCTGGCTTTTATTTTGTTCTTATATTTTGGAATTTATTTGTACTTCTTTTTCTTGTATGTGCATACTTAGATTACTGATTTTAGATCTTAAAGCATTTCTAAAAATTCTAAGTTACAAAGTTCCCTATATGTACTACTTTTGCTGTGTACTAAAAATTTTGACAGATTGAGTTTTTACTTTTATTCAGTTAAAGATATTTTCTCATTACCCTTTGGATTTCCACCATGATCCATAAGTTAATTTGATACAAATTGTTTAATTTCCAAATATTCAGTGATATCCCAGATTTCTTATAAAAGTTGATTTATAATTTAATTCTGTTGTGTAGGTGAATATTCTGTGCATGGTTTCAGCTGCTTAAAATATATTGAGATTTATTTTATAGCCTATTACAGAGTCTATCCTGGAGAATTTTTGATGTGCACTCAAAAAGAATATATATAATTTTGTTTTGAAATGAACTTTTATTTATATGAGTTAAGTCAGGTATTCTCTATACTAATTTTCTGTTTGGTTATTCTATCACTAACTGGGAGAAGATGACTAAAATATTCAAGTATATTATTACATTTTAAATGCCTCCTTTCCATTTTTTCTTTTTGTATTTCAGAGGATATATATTCACATACATTTATAATTGTTATGCCTTGCTAATTAACTATTTCTTTCAGTATTATGAACTGCCCTCTCAGCCCTAGTAATATTTCTTCTTTTAATGTGTAGTTTGTCTTATGTCAATACAACCACTCCATCTTTATTAAGGTTACCATTTGCATGGTGTATCTTTTTCCATCTTTTAACTTTCAACTTCTTTGCATTATCGAATTTATAGACAATATATGATTGAACCTATTTTTTAAATCTGGCCTTACAACCTCTGCCTTTGAAATGAAGGGTTTGTTCATTCATATTTAGTGTCATCATTGGTATTTTTGGATTTACATTTGCTATTTTGTTGTTTCTATATGCCTCATGTATTTTTTTGTTCCTCCTATATTATCTTCTTCTCTGACATCATATCTTCTCCGACATCATATCTTTTACAGACATTCATTTTCCTCTCTTTTTGGGCCTCCCGTTACACGTTGGTTGATATCCTTTATGTTATCCTATAGGTCTCCACAGCTCTTTACTTTTATCTTGTTTTCTCTGTTCATTTAATTAGTCATCAAATTAACTGATTCATTTTCTACTATCTTGCCATCTCAAATCTGCTGACAATCCCACCTAGTGAATTTTTTCTGTTGGTTATATTTTTCAACACTGTCTCCTTCCTTCCTTCCTTCCTTCGTTCTTTCCTTCTTTCTCTCTTTTAGTTTTTAATTCTCTGTCAAAGTTTCATATATATTGAATAAATGGTCATCATATTTTGTCATTAACTTTTGAATATAATTTTCTAATTATTTGAACAGATTTTAACAATTGCTTGGAAATAATTATGAATCCAACAAGTTGGCCCACTGTTTCTACTGACCACTTTGTTTCCTGAGTATGGATTTCACATTCTTGATGCTTTACAAAATTGTAATTTTTGGCTGAAAACTGGACATCATAGATTATAACTTTTTAACATCTCTGGATTCTGTTTTTTAAATGTTTTTCAAATTTTAACTACTTTCCTGGATTAATCTGCACAATATTTTTTTTTCTTCTGCATTATGTGCCACTGATGTCTCTACATAGTTTCTACATTCTTATTTAAATTATTTAGCTTGACATCTGTGGCTGCTAAGCATAGTGGTTATGCAATAATTTGGGCAAATGTAGTGCTCAAATATCTTGAGTGCATAAGATTTCCACTCTCTGTTGCTTGATTTGTATGTGATTTGGGAAGACATTCAAAACCGTGGCAGTTCTTAAGTCTCTTTGGACTTTATTTCTCACTGGGCTCTATTGGGTCTACTCTGAAAAGACATATTTTTCCATAATCCATGTAATATAGTTTAGATATTTGTCCCTACCCAAATCTCATGCTGAAATGTAACCCCCAGTGTTAGAGGTGGGGCCTGGTAGGAGGTGATGGGATTGCAGGAGTGGATTTCCCATGAATGGCTTTGCATCCTCTCTGCATCACGAATTCTTGAGATCTGGTTGTTTAAAAGTATGTGGCACCTCCCCCTGACTCTCTGGCTCTGTTCTTACCATATGAAGCATCTGCTCCCCTTTTACCTTCTGCCATGATTGGAAGCTTCCTTAGGCCTCCCCAGAAGCGGATGCCAGCATTATGCTTCCTGAACAGCCTACAGAACCATGAGCCGATTAAACCTCTTTCTTTATAATTTATCTAGTCTCAACAATGCAAGAATGTCTTAATACCATGTATTTATAGAGAACTTATCTTAGCTCTTCTATGGGTCTCTCATTTCTAAGATCTCCCGTGCAAACTTCTGTGTGTGTGTGTGTGTGTGTGTGTGTGTGTGTGTGTGTGTGTTGGTAAAACTACATTTCTTGATGACCGAATAGAGTGGATTCAGGAGCAGCCCGAGTCAAGAAGGTCACAGACCCTTGCTGTTCTTAAATGAAGCTTTAACAATTTTCAAGAATAAATGCTTCTCAATTTATCATCGTATTTGGTCAATTTCCAGAGTCCTAAAAGGGCTGCTTTTCAAAATTTTCTTCTGTTTTATACTTGTGTTTTACAGAGGATTCACTGACCTCTTTACACCAACATAACTAGAAGTAGTACCATTAAGGATGATTAATAAAATTGAACAAATGTTGCAGAGTGGATGTGAAATACAATAGGGCATATAACTGTCTCTTCAATACTAATGGTAAATTACCAAAAAAAAGTATTGGATAAGTTTAACATGTTTAGAATTGTTCCACTTTCGATGGTAAGGAAGGAATTGGCCTCTCAGCATCAGCAGGCTGTTGACTGCTGGCAGATATCATGATGATAACATTAACATATCTTACAAAGACGCTCTTCCCCTGAGTCTCAATTTTCCCATCTGCAAAATGAGTGGGTCCTTTCAATTCTGACAAGATCCATTTGTACACACAGAAGTCTTTTTAGGCAGATCACCAGTGTTAAGATAATTATTTACAGATCATTATGTGACACTGACTTAGAATGTCAGTGATAGAGGGAGTTTATATGCTATGTGGGACCCCAGAAAGCAAAGTTGTTTGGGTTGAAAGTAAGGGGTGGGATCAAACCATATTCACTTCACTACTTCCACATATGTCACAGCAGCTCATGAATCACCTTTAAGGAATCCCAGGGCACCAACAAACTCCATGTAATAAACTACATAGAACATTTAACTCCCTCTTTTCACAAGGGAGAAAAGTGAGGCTCAGGCAACTGACCCACCCAAAGTTAAAGGACCTTATAGGTGAGTTTCAGTGTCTAGATGGATTAATCTTTTCAACAGCATTGCTATCAAGTACCACTGTGCTTATTCTCATAGGCAGAAACTGGCATACCTACCTCTATAATGTTACACCTTTTACCTTACCTGACACTAATCTGGGCCTCAAAATATTTTTGAATTTATTAATTAAACAATATGAATCATACATCAAAACTAAAATACAGTTAATAAGAACCCATCCTGTCATTCCCTACAATGTCTGACCTCTGCCCCATTTCACATCAGCTTCGTACAGAAGACTTTTTAAAGGTTCTGTGTCTTTTAACCTTTTCTTGTTTATAGGGAATTATCTATTAATATTATTATCTTCTCTTGGAAAAAGAGAAGTAAAAAACACACTGACTATATGTAAGGTTGGACCAGGTAGATTTTTTTTTTTTATTCAAGAGGTATCACACATAAGAGATGGTTTTATATAGGTTGGGTCCACGTGGGCTGCTCAGATGAATGCTTTAATTTACTAAACGAGTTTCCTAAATAAGATCAAGTAGTTAAGCTTCTTGTGTTTTATCACCATTACTCTGGTGGAGGCTTACAGCAAACAGATTATTGAGGATAAGCTGTTGATTCTGCCATAAAAGCCTTGGAGTGATTGTACTGATCAGTAGCAGTGTTTCAGATGGACTTGGGTGAAGAAGGCTAGAGAAGAGGGGACATATTTCGAGGTGAAATGGTGGTTTGGCACATTTTTACCTCTTAATACTGTCATTAACCCTGGGCATGAAGCTATTTTGCACATAGCAAATTGTCATACCCAGAATAACAGACTTAGAAGAGGCAGTTACTATCCTAATTTTTACTTTTTCTACATAAATGTTAAACAAAGACCAGTTTTCATGTAGTATTTGGGCAACCTTGCTTCTCTGTTTCTTCCTGATTCTCACTAAGCGACAGCTTGTTTTCTTTATCCTGATGGGAAGGTGTACCGTCTTCTCTGCACCTCCCTAATTTCCTATGTGGTTTCATGGAGGAACAGTTGAGCACTAACCACTGAAACTAGGATAAAATAGAATTAGGGTCAGTGGATTACTGCTCTGCTTTTTATAGAATGCTCATGCAGAGAGATGTGGATGGTTGAATGGCTTATATATGTTCATCCCTCTCTATTTATTTGAAGTCCTTTTGTATTCTGTCATTCGGTTCCTTCCATAAACTATGTAACAGAGGCAGTATTTTAACTATCCTCATTTTACAGATGGCAGAAGCGTGGTTCAGAGAGATAATGTTAGTGACCTCATAATCATACAGTTAGTAATCGAATAATTGTAAAGCCAGGCATTAAGATGAGGTCTTCTGTCTCCAGTTCTCATGCCTTTTATACAATATCATTTTATACCTATAGAAAACAGAGGCAAAGCAACCAGGTAGTAAGCCATTATTCAACAAAAATTAGGAGAGGTTACACATGCCTCCAGCCTACTTGTATTACAACCCTGTGGTTAACATAATCAAAAGGCTTATTTACCCCTCCCCCCAAAAAAAAAAACTAAATAAATGAGTGAAGCATGGTCTTAAAGGTAAGAATAAAGAATATGGACACAGTATGTCTGGTGGCATCCCCCTCAGCAGCTTACCCTATAGTTGACATCCTCTAGGATAGTAGATGTGCCCACAGTGCATCCTGCTTGCCACAAGGTTTCCTTGATGCTACAGCCATAAAGGAACACATTCTTCTTTTGGGAGTGGCCATGGAAGTCACAGAAAACCTATAATAGCCCAACAAAGAAGAAAATAAAACCAGGTTAGGTCACTGGTTTCTTAAATCATATCTACCACGTTCCATTCCTCAAACAAAGTTTAAAATGTCAACTTTCCCAGATGGATGCTGTTGAGTTAGCAGAACCAGCCATGTGGGGATCGTTGGTGACTTTGGCAAGAGTGGTATTGATTGTACTGATGGAGGTATCAGGGGAGAATGTGGATTGTAAGGGTCTTAAGAGTGAACAGAATATAAAGAAATACAAACCATATATCGCTCTTTTGATAAATTTACTTGTGACGGGGGAAGAGACAAAGTCAAAGCTGGAAAAGAAAATAAAAACAAGGGCATTTTAAGATTCTATGAGTGGGTCGGGTGCAGTGGCTCATACCTGCAATCCCAGCACTTTGGGAGGTTGAGATGGGCAGATCACGAGGTCAGGAGTTCGAGACCAGCCTGGATAACATAGTGAACTGCCATCTCTACTAAAAATACAAAAAATTAGCTGGGCATGGTGGCAGGTGCCTATAATCCCAGCTACTATGGAGGCTGAGGCAGGAGAATCACTTGAACACAGGAGGCAGAGGTTGCAGTGAGCTGAGATCGCACCACTGCACTCCAGCCCAGGCAAGAGAGTGAGACTCCATCTCAAAAAAAAAAAAAAAAAAAAAAAAAAAAAGGTATCTATGAGTATTTTAAACAATATGATGAGAACACATGGACACACAGAGGAGAAAATCACGCACTGGGGAATTTTAGAGGGTGGAGAGTAGGAGAAGGGAGAGGATCAGGAAAAATAACTAATGGGTACTAGGCTTAATACCTGCATGAGGAAACAGTCTATACAACAAAGCCCCATGACACAAGTTTACCTATGCAACAAATCCGTACTTGTACCCCTGAACTTGATTGAAAGTTAAAAAAAAGAACTAAAAAAATAAAAGTCAATAGGAAAGATTCATCTAAAAGGAATTGATGAAATATATAAAAACAGAAGCTAATCATTGTCATTTCTCCTTAGGTTCTAATGTGGTAAAGAATAACCATCAAAACACCATGGCTTATCAAACAAAAGCTTACGTTTCATTCATGCTAGAGATCAGCTATGACTCTGATTTGTATGTTTCCTCCATTCTAGATGCCAGGCTAAAGAAGCCCTAATTTGAAACATGCTACTCTTGTGGTGGAGGGGTAAAACTGTCAAAAGTAGAATCAGGTAATTGCCATTAAAGCTTCTACTGAGGCACAGCAAACATCCTATCTTCTCATAGTCCACTGGTCAAAGAAAGTCACGCAACCAATTTTATCGGTGGTATGGGGAAGTATATTACTCCTACAGGGAGGCTCTTCAATTCATATGACAAAGGGCAGTGATGCAAAATCTTATAAGGAAAGATGCTAATAATGGAGAAAAATGGTAAAATCTAAAAAATGACCACAACTTGTTTCTATTCTTGTATGCATTGCCCTTTGCAATAGACTATGTTCTAACTTCATCAATAGGCGTAGCACATTTCTTCACCTCTTGAACAGGGGCTTATCCATTGATATGATTTAGCTGTGCTCCTACCCAAATCTTATTTTGAATTGTAATAATCCCTACATGTAAAGGGTGGTCCAGGTGGAGGCAATTGAATCATGGGGGCAATTGAATCATGGAGGTCTTTCCCATGCTGTTCTCATGATAGTGAATAAATACTATGGGACCTGATGGTTTTATAAAGAAGAATTCCCTTGTATATACTCTCTTGCCTGCCACCATGTAAGATGTGACTTAGTCCCTCATTCACTTTCCACCAAAATTGTGAGGCCTCCCCAGCCATGTGGAACTGTGGGCCAGTTAAATCTCTTTCCTTTATAAATCTTATTGTCAGCATAGGAACAGAGTAATACAGCCATGTAGCATCTTTTGATCAATAGGAATGAGAAAATATGATGCAAGCTGAGGCATATTAAGGGGTTTGCTGTCCTGCTGTTCCTGGGAACCTTGCAACAACTGTCACATGACCAAACACAGGCTGGGTTGCTGGATGATAAGACTCTTAGCAAAGTTATCCCCATTGACCTAGCTGATATCAAACCAACCACCAGGTATGTGAATGAATCTATCTTAGACTATCCAGTCCTAGCCAACCTGGCTCAGAGGAGGGGAATCAGCCAGTTTACCTGGATGATTCTTATTTAGAATCATTAGAAATAATGCCTAGCTTTTGTTTAAGCCACTAAGTTTTGCTGTGTTTTGCTATACAACAAAAGCTAAGTGTCAGAATAATGTCTCCTCCTAGTCTAAATATTTGTTTCCCTCCCTTCCACATACAAAATACACTCTCCTATTCCCCAAGGAAGATACCCCTAAAGAGTCCATTCCATCACAGTATCAGTCTCAGTCCAAAATTCCCTTACAGTTTCTGTCCTTCTCCTTATCTATGAACAAAAAGGCAAGTCACCTGTTTTCTGCTCATCTATCTACAATGGTTGAATGAGGAAACAATATCCCCAGTAACACTCACGTTACAAAGGGATGAATAAGAGGGGTATAGCAGCCACTGGTTCATAACAATTCTGTAATGCTCTCAGGCAGGCATTGTGAGATGCCTGTCTCCTTTGGGTTGGGCCAGTAGTTGATTAGACCCTGGATCTGCTCCCTGTCAGAGCTGTTCAGTATTATTTTATCTATAGATATTTACTCTTTCCTTGGAAGGTACTTATTTTTCCTGTATCTTTCTTGACAGTACATGAAAAGGGCATTGGACAATACAGCCCACTTTAAGGCAAAGCCTCTATCTTCTCCAGTTTCTGATGTAGAAGTTTGGGAGCTCAAAGATCATTTTGGTCTCAAAAAATCACAGCCTCTTTGAATCAAAGCGCTAAAAGAATTGGAAATAAAATGCATGACAGTAAAAGAAAATATTTTTCTTTTTTTCTTGACTTTATCTAAAACACAACTGACAGTCTAAAGCAAAATGGCAGCAATATATTAAATAGTAGCAATATTAGAAAATGTGAGAAAAAAAGTGTTATAAGGTCCCTATAGTGGAGATGAATAGTATGTTATCTCGAGGTAGACTCTGATTAAAGATAGGTATTGTAAACAATAGGGCAAACACTAAAATACTTTTAAGGGGCATAAATAATAATTCAAGTGTGGAGATAAATTGGAATCATAAAAGTGCTGAATTAATAAAAGAAAAAGCAGTAAAGATAGGAAGCTCTAAGAACACATGAAAAAATAGAAAACAGTGAAATGGTAGATTTCAACACAAACATATCAATAATCTTAATGTAAATGGTCAAAACACACTATTCAAAAGGTAAAGAGTATCAGATTGGAAAATAAGAAAGATCAAATATATTCTCCCTTCAGGAAGTGCATTTTAAATATAAAGCCACAGATAGGTTGAAAGTAAAAGGATGTAAAATACACTATGCAAATACTAAACAAAAGAACGCTAAAGTAGCTATATTAATTATCAGATAAAGTAGACATCAGAACAAGAAGAATTATCTGGGACAAAGAGAGATGTGATGGTTGATGTGTCCCTCTTGTCTTTGGTGGTTAAGTACTAGCACTTGGCCTCTGCTACTCTGGGACTGTATAATCCTTACGAAAGCAAAGACCCCATCTCACTGAGTGCAGTGGCTCATGCCTGTAATCCCAGCACTTTGGAAGGCTGAGGCAGGCAGATCAACAGAGGTCAAGAGTTTGAGACCAGCCTGGCCAACATGGTGAAACCCCTGTTTCTACAAAAATTTTTAAAAATTAACCAGGCGTGGTGACTGACG